CTTTTCACTATTTGAAATGGATTTAAATAAAATCTCATTTTATTTTAAATATCTGGGATATCTGATATTAAAATTTTACAAAATATAAAAAATACGGTTTATATAATAAAGCTTTAAAGAAAAAAATTCCGATACTTTGACTTTCATATTAAATATAAATAAACCATTTTGCTTAATCCGTGGATTAAGCAAATATACGTAACGTAAGTGTAACTTTAAAACTGTTTGAAAGTCAGAACGCGAAATATATTCTCTATATCGCGTGTTATTAAACTCTCGATATGCGCAGCCCGGTAATGTTTGTTGTGAGCCGTGATCACGCGCCCCGAAAAGCGTCGCGCGCGATTAGGTATTCGTCGAGGCACCGCGCCTAGCGACAGGAACACGTGTTCGACGCGCGAGCATTAGAAATCCTGTAATGAAAAAACAACGCTGGAAAATAAAGTCACGCTCCCCGCGATTTGCCGAATACCCTCGTTCTCCGGTTTTGCACGGCGCGACGGCCGAATAGAGTTTCGGAGCAGGCAGAAGACGTTGAATCGTCGGCTCGTTCGTACGGGAGCTGGCGATCCTTTATAAAAGCTCGTATCGTTCGTTGTTCTGTGATACTGAAATTACATATTGTCTGCGTGCGGTAAAATCTGTGTGAGCTGACGCCCCGTTTAGCGAATCTGAGGATTCGTGCAACCGACTGTCTTCGCGCTCATCTCTGAGCGTATCCCGGCACTTTCAAGCGGGACGATCTCGTCGAGATCTCAGCTTCTGAACAAAAACAATTACTGTAAGTGAAATTTTTTTAATCAATCAAATCTCTTCCCAATATTTAACAAACAAGAAATTTAATTTTTTTGTACATAATCTAATATATCTAATATATGTAATCTAATATATGTATGTAATCTATGTTTATGTAATCTAACAACTATTTTTTACATCTATTATAAAATCATGCTGCGTATATCATGCTTTCTCTTAAAGTCTAAAATAATATTAAAATTTTACAAAATATAAAAATACGGATTATATAATAAAGCTTTAAAGAAAAAAATTCCGATACTTTGACTTCCATATTAAATATAAATGAACCATTTTGCTTAATCCATGGATAACTTCCTAATAAATTTACAGAGACTTAAAAAGTAGAAGAATAATTTCGATCATTTTAAGTTAAATAATATTGAAAAATTAAGTTTCTTTAAGAACTCGGTATATAAGGAAAAAACTTAAGAGAAGATAAAGATTGGAAGAAAAAGAATCGTAGAAAGATAAATGCTGTAAAATTTTGAAAATCTTTTATATTATACATCCGAGAATTGAAATGTTTGTTCTTAAAAACATATGCCATGTAAATGATTTCGTTGTTTTCTATAAACAAATTAGTAGAATGAAAATATCTGTGCTTTTCGAGTTTTAGATAAAGCTTTCAGATATATCAAGTAATCATAACATTCATAACGAAATTAAAATGCGCTGCGTCTAATATCAACGCCAAATGTATCGTGTAATATCAATGGACATCACTTAAATTGCATTGAACATCTTCAGTCGGATATCGGTGTTACATCGTTCGTCAAACTACTAAGCCGGAAATGATCCAATTACGCACGAGAACGGCAAATAAATTGCATGTGGACATGGAAGCAGCTTTACGTTCGGTGACAGTCACTGATATAATTAGTTTAAGCTTCACAATCCCATCATCGACTATTAGTACGTGCAACCGGAATCTAGAGCTGCTTTCTAATGCAAACGCTATATCCGGAGCAGACCGGACAAATCGAGTTAAATGTAATTCTTGCTAATTTGTCGACACGTCAATTTGGATCTTCCGATGAAATCCTCGTGAAAGTGTCTATCTTCATTTGACTGGTACTTTTCGTACTGAATTTGGCATTTATTAATTTTTTTTTATTCAAAATGTACGGAATACAATACATTATGCAAAAGACTGACCATCATTAAAATGTTTTAAATAAAACATTAAAATGTTCTAGAAACAACACTTATGCAAAATATATCCTCTTTATATATAAAGAACACTTCTATTTTATAGGTACAATAAATAGTTTAAGCTCTAATAAACTCCTTGAGAAAATCCATGACAAACATCATGTATAAACGGTATTCTATCATTATTACAGATTCGTTGATTAGAGATCTCGTTTTTATTTTCGTATTCTTTATTTCAATTTATTATATCGAAAATTTCGTTGTGAAAGACAAAACACACACTGTACGCTACAATCGATATTATCTCGATTGTGGCTCGTGTCTCGCTACATCTAATCTCGCACTTCTGCTTTTTTGGCTTTCGAAAGTTTCCGAAAGTTTCGCTCGTCGGGCACGTGAACAAAGAGCGAAGATCAATTTCACGCCCGGGATGGGAAAGTGGGGTAAGTGGATAGATAAGGGCGTGAGCCCAACGTTGGACTGGCTGCCTAAGCGAGAATGTGATCACGACGGGGTGAGAGGAGACCGGCTATATGAGGGGGAGAAGGAAGGAAGGAATGGGAAGGAAAATGGCAATGGCGTGAGAAGGAGGTAGGAGTCGAAATTTTCATCCCCTCCGTTTACCCATGCACTATCCTCGCCACCTCGCTCGCTCGCCACCGACGATCTCCGCCACCCTATACCGCCTCCTCAGACCGCCTCATCCCGCTCGGCAGCCTCGTTTAGAGCACACGTGCCACTGACAGCAGTTAATTACATCGCCACGAAGTCAAAGCGCGGGGCAGAGAGAAAGATAGAAAGAGAAAGAGATGAGAAACGGAGAAATGGTGGGTTAGCGAGGAAGGAATAACGCTCTGGACAATTGCATGTCCACCATCAAAAGTTGAAGTGACCGGAAGAACTCCCTCAGCATCCTCCGGTATACTTCGGTGTCCTCCAGTATCCTGGCTCGCGACCGATTTTGATACCGACTACCCAGGATTGTCTTTATATTCAGGCAAACGTTCTACCGGGAGAAGTATTCAAACTCGAATTCACGATGGACGAATTTTCGTTTAGCGTTCCTCAGAGTGTTAATTCAATAATAATATCATTATCAATGCCTTCCGATTTAAGAAATGCACTAAAATTAATTTTTTATGCGACAATTTTTATTTAAAAAATTGTCGCTTTATACGATTTCGTATTATCAGCAGATTATTTGTGTGTCGTGTGTGTGTGTGTGTGTGAAATATTTTCCGTAAATTTTACTTGAAATATATAAACTCTTCATAGAATTATCTCTTATCTCTTTATATATATTATATCCATTAGTTTCACTGCGCTGTGCTGTTAAATTTTCTCCCTATTAACACGTATCGTTAAATACATTCATCGATGCTGGAAATTAGTAAGGTATATTAAAAGCAAAATGAGGTGGTGTGTTTTGTAATACCATCTTTTCCCCTGTATATTACAGCAAAATGCAGATAAATGAATAATAGAAATATAATTTCACGATATTAATAGCAGATACACGAGCAATCAATGCAATCAAATCGTCCGATATATAATCGGGCTTCATTTCTTGACAATTTAACACGTTTTAATCGAGAGTTATTACTTGGTTACGCACGCAATCCCCGGCGAATTTCGATGCGGTGATCTCATTATTTTGTTGCGACGTGTGTATGATATCGAGCTCTTTCAGGCAAAATTGATTACCGCGGTAATCTATCCTTGTCCGACGGATAGGCGAGGGGTGTTGCAGATTGCACGCGTACTCTCTTCAATCATTTACTCTCGTCTCGTATAAACGATCGGCTCGATTTTTAACTTTCGAACAAATTCCGATCGTATTAATTGCTCCTGCGTTATTTCGCCGGAACAACACCGCGCGCGCATAGCATTCATCGTCGCGGGGAAGCAGGGGAAATTAATTCGGATCTCCCTTTTTTTTCTCGCCGCGACCGCGGCAGTTTGACGGCCTCTGACAAACGGCTAACCGCGTTAGATCGATATAGCTGTTGAGTTTACCCTGCAGGCAGGTCTAATTGTGATCGGCCGACAGTGGTCGCACTGACAATTACACGGCGACATTTCTGTTGACGCGCTGATGGTTATTATTAAATTCGGTCCTCTCTAATTGTCCGCGTTCACAAACGGTCGCGGCGCGAGGAAAGAGATCGGAATAAACAGGGTCGCCATTATTATCCACCGATGGCCGTGATGAATCATTGCCAAATTCTATCATGTTCACGTATGAAAATGTTAAACTTCTCGATACAAAAGATTACGTATATATAAATACCGATGCTACTTTTTATTATTAAATTGTAAGGAAATATTCAAATATCACATCTGACAGCTATTCTTGCCAAGGCAATTTCTAATTTTGATTCTACTTCATCGCTGTTATTCATTAAACAGCGTTTTTGCACAAAGCTCCTAAGATTTCTTGTGAAATAATAATTATAGCCGCCAGCGTGGCCGCCAACCGCAAGTCTAATCGCTCTTTTGTGTGTGTTTGCTGTATTATAAGCACAAATATTCCATTTAAGCTACGACCCTCGCGAGAGGAATTTCTAAACGGAATCGCAAGGTGCATCGCGATTGCGCTGGCATTGTGCAAGTAGATGTAATAATAATAAGCACAGGATGTTTGCGCTACACTTTAATATTCTCTCATTTTACTCCGTTTTCAAAATTTATATTTGGAGTTTGTCAATACTACTAACATCTCACACACATCCTATATCTCATAGTTTTCTAAATTACTATCGACAACATTCGTATATTGCATGAGTATTGAACGAGTATCCATTATACTTATAGGCTCGCACTTACATGTACCGTGGGATACAACGTTATCTGTGACAGGTATAAATAACATCATACATCGCGTAGTTCTGTGTACATGCATACAATTCGGCTACACACAAGCCGAATTTCCTCCGTGCGTATATAATGCATGTGCATCGTACGATGGTGATATACGCGCGTTGTACCATACGGCGCGTGTATCCATATTAAACGTACATATTTGCGTGTCGCCGGCTATATGTACTTACTATTCCAGGACTGTTGAATTGGCAGGGTAGCAGCGCGTTTCCGCCGGTTTGCGCTAAAACACTCTTGATGAATTCCGGCCTCGCGCGAGGATCAATCAGGTCGCTTTCCTTTGTCGATCCGCCTTCAATTGCGCCGTCTATAAAAATTCAGTAGAGAACTTGTACTTATTTTATTTATTTCTTATTGGACTTATTGTACTTATTTCTAGAAAACCATTTACGGGGGGAGAGCTACTATTAAAACTTTATTATTTTATTTGTTACTTAATAAGTGATTTAAGCTACGCGACTTTTGCTGAGGCAAGATCGCATTTAATTGAGGAAAAAATTATATTAAAAATCTTTTAATATATCTTTAAAACATAATTTTTTCGCTAAAATCCTTCGACACAAACTAACACAAAGCTTTCGTTAAAAGTATCATGTAAATTTAAATTGCATGAAAAATTGCGCATTTTCTTGCTGAAGAGAGATTATGGTAAAATCTATCACTGAAAAAGCGCATAATAATTACTCGTATTCATTAACAATGAAATTTTTACAAAACACATACCCGTTGACACTCACATTGTACTTATATTTAGATGTTATATTTCAGATTATATTTGTTTTATATTCAAATAACATTATAATTTCAACAAATAAAATAAATAGCATGTGTCAAATTTTGAGTATTATGAACGCGTTTAAAAATTAGTCATTATTATTTGCGCGAATTACTAAATGTGATAATTACATTAATCATCCTTTTACGCAATAATTTTCCGTTCGTTCAAATGTTATGAAATTTGAAGCGGCGTCCAACGGAGGAAAGATGTTCGCTGATTTATATAACGCACACGTTATTGTAATTTATTATTAATAGAATGCAGAGATAGTGTAAAATGTTGAAAATATTAATTTTCCGAGTATACACGAATATATTTTATTAATACACCAATATGCAATCATGTTATCTATAATACAAGAGTTTTATTTTATAACGGAAAGTAGAATTATTTTTGTAATCAAAATCATATAAAAAGGATTTTTGTGAAATCATATAAAAAGAATTCTTTCAATCTTTTTTCAATATTCTTTGCCGCAAATCTTGACTATCTTTAACAAATTTTTAATTATTGAAGAATTATACCTAGCAAATTTAGCAATACATTTTTATTAAACAAACATCCGTTTTTAAACTCTCGAAAATGATTAGGACACTCAATACATTCTTGTCCTCTCCACTTCAAAATCTTTCCACTCGCAGATTCTACGTGAACTTTTACCGAATTCTCTTGTTATAACGAATGTCCAATGACTATCCATTCAAAACTAATAGCTCGTTAAAAGTAAAAACGATTTGACAGCCATCTCTAGCTAATGAATATAGAACAAGAGAATTAAGAGATTGCTAAAGATTTAACGAACATTACTTGATTAAAGAAGGAAATATCTTTCTTTCTCTGTCTTCTCTCTTTGTCTTCTTCTCTCGATCTAATTTGTGTAACTGTCACCGAATTTCGAGCCAATATTTCTAATTAATCTTTTAATCGCCAAGCTTAGCGTGAAAAATTATAATTAGCCGATTAAAATTTAACTGCTCAAATGGCCTGTGGTCTCGCTTTGTTCGATGTTAGGCGTCTCTGTCTTATGCAAGTGCCAGGATCTTCGCACCGTAAATTAACTAGCAACGTCTTGCAACTAAAAGCGTTTGTTTTCGTTGCGGTTTTCATATATACGCTGTATTCACGAAAATGTGTGCTAAGGCGCACTTTCGTTCTGAATTTTGCGCGTTGCGATAAATCCATGTTAACGTAACCAAGACAATGTAATATAGTGTGCAAGTTGCGGCACGCTATTTGGTATTTCCGCTCTTATTCGCGCTCGATGAACCGTGAGGTACGTAAAGAATAATAAAATAGATGGAACTGACGTTTTCACGGTTTAACGCGTATAATTCGACTGCTCGTATTCGTGAAACTTTTGCTTTACGGTCGGTTGGATTTGAGCATGGAAATAATGCCGAAAATGCACAATGGATCAATAAGAATACAATTTCAGCTAGCTTTATAATATTTTAACATCCAGGTCAAAATGGTACAGAAATCTATCATGCGCGTGCGAATTATATGAAATACGTATACCCGAGAAAATTTTTTATATCTTTATTTTTATTTGTGTTATATTAATTAAAAAAGATAGAAATATGTTTCATATATCTCCAAGCTTTGATTTTCCTTCGATAAATATCGCACGATTATAACGATACGAAACAAAGTAAAGAGAACTTATAGTTTAAAATTTAAACTGTAAGTTCTTTTTACTTTGTTAGACTTAAAAAATTGTGACAATAAATTTTGTGTAAATATTCACGCATACTTTACGATTGCGTTATTAATTTATGAAGATATGTGTACATCCATTTCTCTCTCTTTTCCAATAACAGAAATCGGTTTATGGTGTGTCAATTATTTGCTTTCGAGCAGTGATAAAGCGAGAAATGATATGCCTGTCGATATTTTTAGTTTCTCTGCTCCTATTTATCTTCTTTCCTCCTTAATTCTTTTTCTTTGCCTCTTGTTCTAACTATTAACCGTTATCGAGACGATTCTTATCACATGAGAGAGGAACTCGTTAGCGCACGAAGACCATAAATCGCAGAAGGGAAACAACGGAGTTCCGTTTCACGAATACGAGAGGGGCTGCTTAAATCCCCTATCGGAAGCATCTCGATAGTTATCAAAGGTCGGTCGATATCATTCGTATTCTCCATTAATACTCTCTACGATCATACGTAAGTGGTAATATAACCGTTCGTGTAAATAGAAAGATTGTTGAAGATTATTCCTGGACGATTAATGAGCACTAAAACTCCGTTTAGTCCTACAATTACATAGACTATATAATACGTAAAAAAAAGGGAGTTTACAATATCGCACAAGAAGCTTTCTATATAATTATATATCAATAAATTTAAGTAATTATTATTATCAGTCTTGAACATATTTTTATCGTAATTTGTAATAATTTTTAGAAATATTGTGAAAGAACATTTTACACGTATTCATGAGTTAAAAGTGTTCGTGTAGGTACTTGTTAATCCTGGTCTTATTATTGGCTCGAGTAACGCGAGCGAGAACGATCGTTAATCACGGTAATTTGTTTAACGTGTCAATTGATTATCGACTCAAGTCGACCAAACGCGGAGCTTCCTAAGGGGCTTTCTGAAAGCGAGGGATTCAAGTTGCACGAGACGCTCGCTTTTTCGCGATGCCGTTGCATTTTTCCGGTGAACCGACGTTGAAGAGGAGCATCGCTTACCGATCGGCTGTATCAGGTAGCGCAGCGATGCCAGCAACGGCAGGATCAATAGAAACGGGGCCATGACGGCTTCGATTCAGACGTCCATCTCGCGTTCATTCACGAGGCCGGTCTGTAACAGAAAAAAAGCCCATGCAACCATATTAATAGCCCGCCGCAGTCTTCCCGGTGTTGAATGCACTGCAATGGGCTCTTCATGTCGCGGAAACCGACGTTCATTATTTCGATAATCGATCAAGTATCGTCCAGAATGGACGAATCAATTCATCCGTTCCCATTTCGCGCCAATAGCGGGCCTTTCATCTTTTATCCTCTTTCCTGTCAGAAGCATTTATTGCATTTTTGTTGTGCCTTTTTGCGGATACAAAAAGTTTCTTGCCCGTTAAAGATAAAAACTATCTTTTATTTGTGACAAGATTCAAACTGATACGAAATCCACGTTAGTTTCAATTTTCTGTTGTCTTATTTTGCTACGATTGAAAAATATATTTGACATGATAATATTATAAAATAGATTTTAATAAATATTTAATCATCTTTATTGTAGTTATTATTAGATAGGTTGAGTAAAATATATTAAATATATTAGATTTTACTTATAAATTCACATCTCGTAATATTTTCATAGAATATACTTTGGATTTTACAATTTTATTGGTAGTGATTTAATCCTATTAAAAATTAAGTAAGTTTTACATCGAATATTTATATTGCACGAATTTAAAGCTCAATTAATAGCCACCTCATTATAATAATAACTACAGATGTAATACATGAATTATTTGTTAACTACAATAATTACCTGAATAATCACAATATTTAACTACATAATTGCTAGTTAATTATGTTATTAACTAACTAATCATAATTTATAACTCGCGCGTACTAAAGTAACTGACATCTATGTTGCTTTTATTGGTATATATAATAAATAATTATTATAATATTATATTATTGCAAATTATAAAATTTCCGGTAGTATAACATAATAGATTTTTACACAAAGCGTGAGTGAGTACAAATAACGATTTCTCTATAAGCTATATATGTTATTATTATTGAAACTCCGTAAGAAGATTACGCAAAGACGTAACAAGCTCTAAAAGGAGCAGAAGCTTTTAAAGGATTAATTTCCTGCTCGTAATTAGTTACAGGCATTGCAACTTCTGTGTGTGTAGGTATTTGTTTTGCTTCCTATGTACTTCGTCAGACTTGTTACGACGCCGCAATTATGGTACTAACACAAACTTTATAATCAGCTACCGAAAACTAGAGAACTGCAGCGACATGGTCACTTCATTTGCGATAATTATAATGCTATCCGGGAAAATCGTAGCATCGCGAGGTAATCAAATCGGAGACGTACCTTAACAATTTGCCGATTTTCTTTCAAGAAAATAGTATCAGTGTTTATTTTATCGAACGCGAGAATATTAGTCACAGACAAGACATTAAAAAGAAGTTATTTCGGTCCTGTGAACTTGGCACACCATACCTAAAAATCTAAAAGTTTTTTTTAGAGTTCTGACTTTCTTTTGAATAGTTCCAGAGTTCTAGATAAACATTTTAAATAGTTTCGATGATTAATTACAAAAACAATCGAATTTGAAAATATAATGCGTTAAGTTCACGCAAAAAAGAAAGATGTATATTACCCAACTTAGATATGTAATTTAGAAATATTTTTTAATTAAATCCGCTTCTTTTTTTCTTCAATATATTTTTCCTGGCAGCAAAAAAAGGAACTTTGTACGTATTGACACACGTATATAAATATTTTATCATATACATATATTATACTTTACATTTTTAGTAATACTAGTAATATCTTTAGTATTTTTTATATAATCAAGAAAAGTATATAAAATATATTTTTCTTGATTATATAAAAATTACTAAAAATATTACTAATATTACTAATATTACGCGGAACGAACATATTGTTCAGTTTTGAAAAAATTACTAGTTACACACACTATGCACACACTATAACAAATGCATGCATGCGTTGTTATTTCGTATGCGTTGCAACACGCCTCGCAACGGCATCCCTAGCCATCGCATTACCCTCAAAGCGCTTGCTTCATTTAACCAACAGGCCACGAAGTGGAATATTCTGTTGGGTCCTATTCTCTCCGCTATTCTTACGTCCCATTTCCGGTTACTTCTTTTATACTTATTTTCCGGCGTATACCCGTAAACGTCTTTAAGACGACGATTATAATTTTCAACTCCACGGTAAACTCAGTGTCTTTCTCTCTTTAAAGTTTAATTATAGTGAAGTTGGAGTTGCTACGCGCACATAAAATAATTAGCATAAAACAACGCGTTGCGACGGAGTTAATTTTATGCATGGTCTTTTAATTGGGTCACATAAAAGTAAAAAGAATGGACTGTGTAAGACATTATAGTTACCTCTTGAAAACATAAATTTCTTAAACTGTATAACGTTTCTTCCAGACGTTAAAATAAACTTTGGTTTTTATTGTATCATATGTTACACAACTCATACATGAAATTAAACTTACAAATGTTTAACTTGAAATGAGAAAAATACAAAAAATTATGTTAAATGTGTGTTTTCTACATGTAAACTTGTTATCGATATTTATTTCTATCGATCTTTCATCATGTCGTGAAAATTAATGGAATTTTACCAAAACATACGCCTGTAGGCGTACATTTATAGACATATAATATGCCTAAAATTAACGTTATTTTAATATTAAATATTTTCCTCCTGGGAAATCTATCGCAATAAAGCAGAAAGTTAAATTATCATAGATATTTCCCTGTCAAGTCTATTACTGGTTTACTTGTAAGTGCCTTCTTTCAGTAAATTACATTACAAGTACATATCAAACGCAAACGACGGGGGCAATTTAGGGGAGAATGCGGGTACCGGCGATGGATGAGGAGGGTAGGAAAGTGATTGAAGGACATCTCATAGCCATGGGCCGGGCCGTGATTGGTTTGACGGGATTTCGCCCCTGTAATGCCAAACTCGACGTCTGCTGTTGCGGTCGGCTCCGGTCGAGGCATTATCGGGGGTTGTTAGGGTTAGTGTACTGGGGTAAACACGTTCTCGTTCTAAACCGTCCAACGTTTTGAAACTTGCCGAGTATTTTCTTGTTGAAATTGCTTATAATGTAATCTTATTAAAATTGCTTGTAATGGTTTACATCTTGAAGAAATTGTAATGGCGTTTATCATGATAATAAGTGGAATATCTCATTCTTGATATAACAAATTGCATATATGAAAGAGAATAGGTATAAAAAAATGAAACTTGTTACATTTTTCTGATAATAAAAATATTAATTTTTTAATATCTATAATAAGAAACAAGATTTTTAATAAGATTAAATAAGGAAACTTGAGAAAAATCGTAGATATTAAATTTTATTAATTTTGAAAACTACAAATTGAGAAAGTGCAATTTTATAATTATTTTCTAATTTGTTTTGTTTGATGTAAAAATGGCTTTCTGGAGAATTGCTTTTTGTTTCTTACACGCACATGAATTGATAATTTGTAAAGTACGAAGTAATCTTAAATATTTTTCCTGAATTTTATACATATATATTACTTGTTTGAAATGGTATATTAATATTTTTTATATAAGAAACTAGCTTCTTTAAATTGATAATTAATCGAGGATTATAAGTAATCGTAGGCGTTAGTGTTTTGTTTGATTTCGGGGGTTTTTATGGTTCGTGCGAGGATATTCGCAACGAATTCGCGTATATGATGATCGTATTTTTGGTTCGTGCTCTCTTTCGTATTCCATCCTATTCGAAAGGGCTGCATTATAAATCGTGTGAAATCCAAGTGTCTGACCTCGATCGGCAGCGGTGGATCCCCGTTAAAGGGTAGAAAGACGAAAAAGAGAACGAGGGAAAGAGAGAACGAGGGTTGCGAGCGGAAGAACCGAGTGAGGGGGTGCGGGAGAGGGAGAATCATCGTGCGAATTTTACGCTAACTCGATAGCTGGTTGGAATAGATTACATCGATCGGCAAAATCTTTCTGCGTGGATGACGCTTCTGTAGGTAAACGGTCGAGACATTGTCAGCGCGTTTTGCACCATTTATTTCGCGATAATGTTTCCCTTTGCTGTTGCACACGATTACCACACAGACAAGTTACAATTGGATAAAAAATATATTTTTTATTCGTATATTATTTTGCTAGAGAGCAGCAGAGAAAGATAGAGAACGAGAGAGAAAGAGAGCGATTCCGGAGGTCTACTGAAATCAAAACAAAACGGAAATTAAAACGTTATTGATTACTGGATTCATTAGTTTACCTACTGTTATTTACTGTGACGATGTTATTAAAAAAATAATCAAATTAATTTCATTATATCTTAAAAGACTACGGTCTGGATATATAACTATTTTAAAATTATGTACTTAAATTTTTACATTTTGCAGTTTTTTCTAATATCTTGTTTGAATATCCAGAGGAATATACGAAAGTAAGTCTTTTTATCAGTAAACATTGAGTGAACGAACATTCGTGCAAAATTTTATGAGGGATTAGGCGGAATTCTTTTCTAACAATAAGTGTGACTATATACTAGGAGGCTGACTAACGTCTAGTTTCGAGGGTCTAGCGTTTACTTTGTCATTATTTTCATTAGCAGGGAGCGAGTTATATCCGGTTGATCAGGGGATATTGCTGGCCTATCAATATTGTGATGTGAGATTTCGGGCATATTTTCGTTCGAACAGTAAAAATAAAAAACTGCGCCTGTTATCGCGAATATCGCGGGTCACTCCGGTTGCTGCTTGTATATCGGATTTACTGAATTTATCGATTGAAAGTTGTGCTGATTTACTTAATAGCCACACGATGTATTCTATACGGGTCAACTCGATCCCTCCGACATTCACGCTGTTTTTCAAGAAAATTTTTGACTTATAGTAGGAGTGCGATTAGCGTTTTTTCCTCGGCTTATCGCATTCAGCCTGCATGGTCAGCTGTCCGTTGCTGAGTCGGCTCGGTGGATGAGGAGGTGTGGGTGCAGGTCAATGTCAAATATCGCGCCTCAAATATCGCTATCAGCTGACTGCTTGACGGTTGCGTGAATATTTCACGTCGATTTTTTTCTTCCGATATACGTGCTCCCTGACTTTGTCTCCGGAGATTTTTGGGTTGTATGGAACGTTTCCATGGTTCTCTATTGACAATGTGCCTTCACTTCTTGCAGTATAAAAATGTTTTCTGGGATATTTTGGTAATCCTTCCCAGATGTTTGGACTGTCTTACTGGAAATACCTCTATAATCTCTCTTGGATGTCTTGGCGACCCCGTTGCTGTCACAAATTATGTTGTGCCGCTCCAGGCACAACGGGATTCTCTGTTAAGGTTCGTCTTAGGCGCTCTTTGGAATCCGAGTCTCTCCCGAGAGAATTTTGCACAGATGTTTGCTCACTCAATGTTTATTAAAGAAATTACAATTTATAGTATATATAATATATACATATATGTATATACATACATGTAATATAATTTTCATTTTTTGAGATTCAAGGCAATTTGGAAAAGTATAAGCTCATTAAAATCTACAGAAAAAACTTTCTGTCTTCTAAAAATCTCGATATTAATTAAAAATACGTTTTTGAAGTTCTTGAATGAGATGAGACAAAAGAATGTCTCACATGTCAGTTAAAATACTTTTATTTCCGTAAGTGTTGTATTACGCGTCCTGCAAAATTTTTAATCTCTTCTCTTAATATTCTGCATTAGAATATCCACAAAAGTAGAATAAGCTTGAATTTTTTCGGCTGCGCAACATTTTCCTAGCAGGAAAGTTAATTTAATTACCGCGTATTTTAACGAGATTGTAAAAGGTAAATGTTCAAAAGTGGAATAAATTCATTGTTTTGCGCTATACCGCGACAGAACAAAGAAACACGAGAAAATACTTGATACATGATTATATCGTAAGCAAAGCATTGAAGTTGTAACGTGATTAAATACAAAGTAGACTGCATAAAGTAAATTTTACGAAATCAGGTGAGATCGTGCAATCGCGGTAATTGTCTGGCATAATATAAAAACAAGATTTCGTTAACTAAAAGTAGACAAATACGCAAAACTCATCACTTCACACGACTACGCGTTTGCATAGTCTATAGATCTCGGATTATCATTATAAGATTTCTATGGCTTAGTTTACACCGATCACTTGATACGCGTATTAAATAGTAAATAACTAGTAAATAAGTCTGATTATTGGCTGATCAGTTCAAATATACTATTTGATACGCGTATCAAGAGATCGGTGTAAACTAGGCCTATATGAAAGACGTTCTTTTTAGAAAAAAAAATTACGTCTGTATATCATTGTTTTCGTATAGGATTCCACTTAGAAAAGAATTCCGCCTAATTTCTCATAAAATTTTGCACGAATGTTCGTTTACTCAATGTTTACTGATAAAAGGACTAACTTTAAAATTAGTTGCAGTCTTCAGGTATAGTTACAGTGTTGCCGGAATCTCGCAAGTTCTCGCACTGATAGGGAGTTTTTGAATATGGTCTCGATCCACTTTCTCTGCTTTCATCGTTGACGAAGTAGGTTTCGAAATGTTTCAATGTTTTACTTCGAGTTTTATAACATAATGCATTTGCTTGCCGAAATGCTTAATCATGATTTTTTTAGAGTGCGTATGGATTGTGCGAATGTATCCCGGTTAGCGTTGTCGCAACAAATTGATATATATAACAATAAATTTGCTAACTGGCAAATTTTTCCACTAGTTACGTGTTGTAACTTTAAGTTGCAGGAATTTTTAGGTCGCGACAATTTTACATAATTTTTGAAATGTTTAAGGCAATCTTAGCTATTCAATTTTGTTGCATGAGAAATTGTATCAAATTATTTAATTATTATTATATCAAGCCGTACCATTAATTTTATTGTTATATCGAATTGTTATATCAAACCATATCTAACCATAATATATATTCTAACACGCAGCAAAATGTATGTTATCGTAACATCATTCTGATTGCAATTTCTATTGTAACAACAGTGGGATTAATCTCAATTGGAATAAACTCAATAAATCTACTAACTTTTTTATAATTCACGTTCATGTCGGTTACACCGAGCAATTGTGCTTTAGAGACTCCTATTGGAAAACGCGTTTATTTCGCTTCCCCAAACCCCTCGCAATTAGTCGAATTAATTACACAGCACTATAGTACGAATAAAACGCGATCTCGCATTTTCCGCGTCGCGGAAATTTCTCGTTGCGAATAGCGACGTTAAAAAGTTTTCCCACTCCGATCATGAACTTTCCGAAAGTACCGTAATACTCTTTCTCGCGGCGAATCGGGGATATTTCAGATCGGCTGATCGCGGGTAATTATGTTCAGAAAATTTTCCGCACCGAGGAAACATGCAATCTGGACGGCGTTGCCGCGAATTTTACTTCGCGAGATGCGTGCAGTCAGAGTTAAGGTACACAACTTCTCAAAATGCTTACTTCTTTCTTTAAAGTTTCCAAAGAAAGATCATTATGATTCTTCAGATTAGAATTTAGCTCTCGTTTTTGTACGGTTTCTTTTCCTTTGTTTTTAGCATAACAAATGAGTAAATTAACGTGTCTTGCGAGCTCTTTGATATTGAATTTTCCTAAATTAGTTTATATTTTCTATTTAAGGTTCTCTATTTCTTGTATCTGCGAAACTTTTTAATAGAACGAAGTTTTTCGAGCAATAAATCCGACATCGAATAAAAGCGTCGCGTTCCAATTTATTGAGTCGCTTTCGACGGGGATGCATAATACAGTGGCACAACGGCATTTACATCGAGCGGTGATACGTCGCGGCTTGACAAATCGTCTCATTAAGAAGTTATTCTCCGTGGCCATCGGTAGTCTATTTTCTGCGCCATGAACGTGCATTAAGTCGTTCTAGCAACCGGAAGACAGCTTAAGTGTCTCGAGATACCGTACCCCGTTTCTACTTCTCCTCTCATTTTCCGTTTCGTTATCCGTCATTGTCTTTGTTCCGCTCGTCAGGCTCGTCACTATTTCTTCAGCTTTTTTTCTCACGTTATCGCAGCTTCTTCGCTATATATCCTCCGTCTTTCTTGCGAAAGATTCTAATGGCTATATTTTATCGCGCTTCTAACATGATATTATATATATATATATATAAGTCGTTTTATATATATATATATATATATATACAGAAGTAGTGGAAATTAAAAAAATAAATGTTAGACATTCTTTTTACAATGTATGTATTGCGATATACGTCGTGTAAATATTTTGTAACGCAACCTGTTATCCTAACATAATAAAATCGCGGAATGTAAGAATAACATGCAACGACGAAAAATATGTTAATTAATGTCGCGTGATCAAGCGACCTCGCAGCACAGTCGTTGTTTATGATGCTAAGAACAATACTTTCGTCGTGATGTATTCGCTGTATAACGCACGTGTGAAAAAAATATTTTTTTATCTCATTTTTAGCCACCGGGACGAGAAAAATATATTTTCCGTGGCCGCGCGCGGCTGTGACAGTCCTTTTTCAACACGCCGTATAAAACATCGTTATTGCCGACAGAACTAGCTGAGATATTTCCATTCAACGCACATTTCTGCGTGATGTTGCGCGAAAAAAAATTAGCGGTATTAATTACTTGGACGGCGACGCGGCGTCAGCGAGGGGCAAACAACGCGAGCATAATATCGCGCAAATATTACGTAATATTCGCAAGTTCTGATAAATTTTTATGTTTTCTTAATGCAAATTCAATTCGGGTACGGCTGAAATGTGGACGTAATTGTTGTCGCAGACTTGTGGGATCTCGCAAATTGATATGCGTTAAAAAAATATTTTTTCTGCAAATACGAGTCCGCGCAAATATTCCGCGTATCGACGGACCCCGCTTTGATTATCTCTCGTCTTATTTTCTACCCGCGAATGGCTTTTCAACAATTCTCTTTTTCTCTCTTCCTCACGATTTCATCATGAGATTGAATATTACGTGTGCAAAGTCAAGGTACAATATGCGAAATAAATGTTTCGCACATATGTTCTTCTTGGCGGATTTATTTAAATTAATTATCGAATTGCTTCGGTCGCTTCGGACATTGTTCTCGCAATTCACGAGTAATCATCAGTATATAGTAAAGCTCATACATGTAATATTACAGTCCACTCGTGCGACGACCGCGACCACGTGAGGAATTAATTTCGAGATGGTGCTTAGACTAACTTGGAAATTTGCATACGAAACGCGCGCTCCTCGCGCTTCGTCGCGAATTACAATGTATTCTAATTCACGCCGTAAGCTCGTGCGTTGCGTCTTCGCCTGTCGGATGTAAATTGACGCGGGCCGCTGATTGCAGTGTGTTACGAGAAAAGTTTTCGCCGTCACGGTGGCAACAAGCAATAATGATTCCCGGGATTTTCAGCCGTTTTCAATCGCGCACTCTCGTATCTGAAGAGATTATCTTACCGCTTTTGGGATTAAATTAAACGGCTGGACGAACTGTTTGTCGAAGGATGTCAGGTACTTGGACACGTGTAGAACGCCATTGTCCATCACTCATCGAGGAAGTCGACGTAACACTAGAAAAGCAAAATACCTATACATATATAACTTTATCTTGCATCTTTGGTGTGACATATAGTTTTATTGGACGTTTACAGATATAATTAAAAAATTTTATTATTATAAAGGCATATATAGAAACTATGTATAGAAACTATGCATATAAATAAATTGTATTACTGAAGACTGCTTTATTTCCGTGTGTCTTCGCAGAACAATTGAAAGAGTTTTATTTATGACAGTAATTTCTACACACACTGTACATAAATTTAATTTTAACTGAATTATAAATTTTGATTATTCCGGTTTATTAGATATTAGGTTACCGTTGGCTGTTTACTAGTTTCGCTTCACTTATAGATTAAAATATGAGATAATATTAATATTAATTATTATAATTAATTGCGTAAAAAATTTGTAATTATATACGCATCAAATACATTAATTAACTCAATAGTAATTACTTTAACACCACAAATTGACGCGATGATTATTGATCAATAATAAGTTCAGCTCATTACCACGATAATGTCAATTAATTTCTTCTCGCGGAAGTTGCGAAAGAAAAATCCAACTCGGGAAGAAATGCAAATGAATGTTTGTCGATTATACAAAATCTCGAGGGACAGAGCGAGAAGTTAATGCCGCAAGAAAACGCTGCAACGGGAAACGGCATAAATCTCTTTCTTTCTTCGCTCTCGTCGCAAAAGTGTACAAGGCTAATAATTTCTAAACCATCCTTGAACGACTCGGTGAAGCTAACCGTTTATCATCGCGGACACATTTGGAATGGGAATAAAGGGACGGTTTTCCGAAAGGGGGCCCGAGGACGACAGTACCGAGATCAGATGAAGAAGAGCTGCAGTCGGGATTGGTGAAAATGCCGTGGAAATAATGCCGAGCGTGCGCGTCACCGCGCGTGACATATGAAGTGAAAGGATTTATAACACACGCGTCACTTTCTGCCCCGATTTACCATTTACGCGACGTAACTGCACTTTTTGCGGAGCATCATACGCGCCGTTCTCCATTTCCCTTCTCTGCGTAAATTGCGTTTTCGTCCGTCTGGTTAATGCGATGCCTCTCGTCAGCGTAAAGCTGCTCGAAATCCGATCGATCCGATACGGTTCTCATTTGCGGTATGTGGACCGAATAAACGCGATTCTATAATCTGGCCTAACACGTGCGTGATATCTAAGTAAACGTTTATCTAAAAGGTTTGGCATATTTGCTCCAAATATTTTTCATGATTTTTGATATCAAAGAACGACCGAAGATATCAACATTTTCACGATCTCGAATGGAAAAAATTCGATTGTACTGAAATCACTGATATTATATTCTCTGCATCTTTGTTTCTTATGGCAAATGTATGCTATCTTTTATTTTATTTTAAAAGTCTGTTTCAAACTAATAGGAAATTGAACTAAAATTTTTTGCGAACGTAAGATAACTATTGGCATCTAATTTTGGAATCGCTCTTGAGAAGGATTAGATTTAATCCACATGGGTTTATGTACGATAGAAATGTGTTTAGAATTGATATGAACTAATAGACTCGTCACAAATTTTGTATCATATTTTCATATTTTTATACGAACATCCTTTTCATCGGTGTACACGGGAGTTACTTCCCGTGCTGCCGCAGCTGATGCGAGCAACATGGGAACGGTCGACGCGCAGCCCTTCGACGAGACAGATTAACATTGTCGATACGTTGTCGATGTCGATCAACGTCCGTGACACGGGAACGCATTTGTCGTATATCTGTTAGCGGGGTGGCGTTCCACGACCGACGGTACACGAGTTGCTCCGCACGAGGTTACAAGATGTATTTAGGAACATTAGATCAAACAAATATATAATCAAAAAGATGAATGGATTTTTTTATCAATTCAACAATTTTGCGATATCAATCCATTTTGTATTGATAACTGATGCGTTCCGTGTGATAAATTTGAGAAATTCTTATGACATATTATAATAAGTAAAAAGTTGGTATATTTTTTTATTATCTATCTTTTATTTTAATAACAAAAAGATTAGGCAGCCACAAATATTTATAACGGTTTCTCATGCATTCTATTTAATATTCTATTAACTTCTATATTAACTTAATATTCTATTAGGTCTACATTTTTTATTAGATAATTAGATAGAATTATTAGATAATTTATTAGATAAAAATAGCTGATTCTTTATATCTATTGCATTAAATCGAGGAAGACTCGTCCTAAAAATTTTTTTGTCAGTGATCTTGTACATTTAATTGGTCAATATGCAAATTGATGTATACCATCAATAATGCGGACTCGCACAGGTTTTCATTTATTACTTTATTACTTTGATTCATTTGATAGTGTCGATATTGATGCTATCGATATGTATTAAATTACGCGATCGGTTATCTATCGTTCCGACATATATCGGTGTGAAATTTCGAAACCAAGTACTTCTATATATTTTAATACCAACGCGACTTCTCTGAATAAATTGTAGCGGCAATCGAATTAATGAAAATCGGTATAATATATACCGACTTAATTCCATCACTCGTTGTGTAACTGCAATCGATGTGACGAACCGCAGTGACGAGTATCAACCATAATTCTGGCAGAGGCATGCGTAGCCCCAGGGATATGACGAGGCTCGTTAGAAAGCTCTTTGCCTCCATTATTCTCCTCATTCGCCTTTTGTTTTCTCTTTTGTGGTTTCCCCTTCTCCTTTGAGCTAATAATGACTGAACATGATCCATATTAGAAAGCTCCCTGCCGCTTCGAGTGCGGCGCAGTCGAGTGCATTGCAAGTAAGCTTCCATTTCGTTCTCCGCTATTGCCAACGAGATACCATTAAAAAGCGCTAGTTTTACGAGAGTTTACATAGTTGGAAAAGTTCACTGTGCGCGCAAATGCCTTTGGTAGATATTACTGCCAGAATAAAAAGCAGTAGATCAGAACAACTATGGATCACAAGAGAAACGCAGTCACGGGAAAAATAGATATCAGCATGTATGCGCATCCATTTTAGAGAATTTTGTTTAACTGAATATCTTCCTTTTATATTAGAATTGAGTTTTATTTTAAATTATTTGTATCAAGCATTATTGATTGGCTTTATATTTCTTTCATTTTTCGAGATTATTTTAAACTATTTAGAACGCAGAAGGAAATGTATGAATTAAATTATTCTCTTTCACTTTGTTAATAACAGAAACAATTAGATATATATAAATTATATATAACTTTAGTTGGAGTAACTAAAAAGTACACCTTACCATTAAAAAAAATTTTTTTTTATTATTGGTGTAAAAACCGAACACTCAAGATTACTCATCAAGGTATATACCTTCTTATATGTACAATGTATACATATTATAGAATTGATTTTAATAAAAATGTCAGCAAAGAAAATAATTAATCGTAACAGCATTGGACGAATATTTTATAATTACTGCGTTAACCGACTTTATAATAAGGACATTTCGATGGTCCAGATATCACAATTAAATTTTGCACATTAAATTCGGAGAACTTCTGCATTTGTACTTTCGCATTAAATAATATTTACAGCACGGTATGCGTTTATATACGCGGATTGATAGGAATGCTCGGACCTGCAAATTTCACCGGTAGAAAATAAACTATCTTGAGAAGAGGAGAGATTTATCTCGAGTTATGCCGGCCAGTAGTTACGGCGTTCGTGGTCAGACGTATTTCACAGCGAGCAGTAGTTACCGCTCCCGCAATTCATACGCCAGGAAATCGGATGAACTGATTAGATTCTAGATACGGTCGACACCCGCGGCGACATTGTGCAACAGCAGGTATAAAGGTCGATACCGCGATCTTTATCTAAATTGTAAACTTTGATGGTATTTCCTGCGCGATACCAGAACATTTCAATACGCCGAAATTAAATGTTACAACGAGATTTGGAATAATAATAATAATAATAATAAATTTATATTAATTTATTTAATGCAATAATATAATAGCAAGAAGTAAAATAAGAAAGTAACAAATGATGAACGCCATATGCAAATAAAAGGCGAGATTACAGCTGACACAGGTCGAATCGATATTTAACCCAAAATAAATCGCGTTGTTAATCTTTAATAATTTGGTATCTTCAAATTAATGTACAGAAATAAAATTTATTTTAATTTTCAACAATTGCGTGGTTGCATAAAAAGATGCCGTTTTATTAGCGTTTCTCGTCATGTTTCTTGCACAGATGAATTTACCGCACTGGATTTATTGATTTTAATAAATTTATGGGTCACGAAGATTTCCGTGGTTTATCGTCAGTGAAGCTCCGGATTTATATACGTTTGGGAAATTAATATCGTGCGAATGCTATTAAATAAAACATTGTAATCATCGATTACCGTAAATTGATGAGCTCTACACTCGGTTTAGTACCATCGTTTAGTCCTCATCGTGTTTCACGGTTCCGGCCGTTCACGAGTCAATGTTATGTGTATATGAATACTGCAGTTTATCATGTGTGCGGCGCGTAAATACACGCGCAAGCACATACACCTATACGTACACACGTAAAGGTGCTGCTAGTAATAGATACTGCATTTGATTAAAATATTAAATATGACGTTATCGGCAACGCAAAAGTATGTAGAAAATAAAATCGTTGAGAAAAGCCAGATTTTGTTGTTACCACTAATTTTTTTTTATAACAAGAGGACTGCAAAATATTTGTTAAGTCAATTTACTTCTGGAATTTATCATGTCAGATAACTATTTTGTTTCGCTTAAAGTCAACATATTTTTTAAAATTATTTGTAATTTTTCTCTGGCTGATTAATTTACTAGCGACCTGATTTTTTTTTTGTTTCGCGATTCAACAGAGTACTGCAGAGTACTTTATGCTCTTTCAATTACTTATCAGTAGAGTAGGAGATCACGTAAAGAAGCACACAGTACTCACTTCAATGCGTAGTATTCTATTGTAGATTCCTTTTTTTATATTCTGGATTCTGGTGCTCGGTCTTATCTACGATGCACTGCGCGACCGAAGAAAATGTTCTCGGAGCATTGTCGGCCTTTTCGCGCGGCTGGGTCGTTATCACGAGCTCGACACGCCGCGTCCTCGTCGATAATTGGCTCAAAATGTGTACACTTGCGTCGGCGTTACCACGCCGTAGGCTACGCCACACGTTTGCGTTTGCGGCGGCCCCGAAGCCGCGCGTTTCAGCTTCCGCCGACGACTGACTCTATCGCTTTTGGGCACGGCGCCTGCGCCCCTTCTCGTCCACCTACGATCCTGCCGCGTGCACCACGCGTCTTTCTGAACCTCGAGGTCAATAATTGTAGAATCAGAAAATAACGAGGCATATTGACATATCGACATATCGATTTAATAATCGTATTGTATTATCCGAATCTGATGTGTGGTTTTCTGACTCTGATTTTCCATAAAAAATAAATATCGAAATAGAATGCAACATTTTCGACACGAATCGATGCCGAACGATCGCGCGGCACGAATAATCTCAAAGCGAGAGAGCAATGCAGGCCCTCGTCCCAACGCGGATATTCGAGTATGATACAAGATTACACGAGCTCCGGAAGTGCGAGGGTAACGTCAGAGATCGAAGTCGAATCGTCTCGTCGACTTCGGCAATGCGCAACGACCTAGATTTTCGCTCTCAGTATAGGTAACCAGCGTCGATCAAAGTTCGTAAAAATCGCCAAGCGGGAAGTGACGGAATTCGAGAAGCATTACTACTTCGTCGTCGTCGTTGTCGTTTATAAGCTTCGCGATCGACACGACGTCAAGAATACCCTCGGCAAGGGAAAAGACACACGTTTCGCAAAACACGAGGGCGTTTCTGAACTTCCGTCGCATTTGTCGCTCGCGTAATGGCCGCCAAAGTTTCATACAAGCGCGTATCTTCCCATTTCTCGCTTTTTCATAGGATTTACATGTTGTTACGTTCACACTTTCGTCGCGCTATCTTTGCCTTCGCAATCCGCCGTGCGAGGTTTTCCTCCTGCACGAAATTGAAATTTCCACAGTGCGGATATAAACGTCGCTCCTGCTGGCATTCTATTTGCATATATTTGTTACGTAAAGACTTGGATATAAATAAACGTAGATCTTTGGTTCAATTTATCGAGGTTCTGAAGAAGAAAGAGACGTGTTTTTTTCGCGCGTTAAATTTAATATAATTTAAAATAGATATTGCGCTGCAAGAAAACGGCACCTGTCAATTTATTGCTCGCTTTTT